CCTCAAAATTTTTTTTTTTTTTTTTTTTTTTTTTTTTTTTTTACAGATGTGGCTTTTAGAGGCTTTTGCATTGGAAGTCTTGGAACATTAAATAACAATAGAAAGGACAAAAACATAACATTTTATGTCTCGAAACTCATTTTATAACAGGGGTCATATGATGCTATTTTAAAGATCATTATTTTGTGTATTTGGTGTAACAGAATATGTTGACATGCTTTAATGTTCAAAAAACACATTATTTTTCAAATACTGTACATTATTGTAGGTCCTCTATGCCCCGCCTCTCTCAAACGTGTAGTTTTCAACAAAGCCCCCTCCTTTGACAAGCGCAGTCTGCTCTGATTGGCCAGCTGACCCAGCGCATTGTGATTGGCCGAACACCGCAAGCACTCATCGGAAATGTAACACCCCTTACCATAATCACGAGCTTCATCTTTCAAAATAAATGTAAAGACAGTAAATAATGTCATTAGTTTTACCATCAGTTCAAGCCCGAAAAGGCAACAGAGTCGCGTGACAGACACAGTGATGAAGCTGGTATGTGTTTGCAGTACACAAGCCACGGTTAAGACAGCTGAAATCTGTCTTTCGCACTGACATGGCTGCATCAACACTACTGCTGTTCCTGAAACCACGCCTTCTTAATAATGTAATTAGTTTTACCATCAGTTCAAGCCCGAAAGGGCAACAGAGTCGCGTGACAGACACAGTGATGATGCATTAAACAAGCCGCGGTTAAGACAGCTGACCTGCTATGATTTCTGACTGGCAGTTCACTCTCCTGTGATATGAGCCTGTTCCCCTCACACACACACACACACGATGTAGATATGTGGGGGCGTGTTAGAACGAGGCGTTTTAGGTAGGTGTGGCTGACTCTTAACTTTTATAAAGAATATCTCTTTGGATTTGAAACTTTAGTCTTTGCAACTTTACAGATCTTCTTTATGCACCAAGAGCTTGTAACACTCCAAAGAGAAAGGAAAACTTGAAATCGCATCATATGAGCCCTTTAAGTTAAAAATGGTCAACTTTTATTTAAAACAATTAAAACCAGTATCATATGTGAGCACAAACACAAGCACACACCCTTCCCAACACACACTGGAATGCAATCATGCATCGTTTATGCTTACATGACCTATGACCTAATAAATAAATATAGACTGTAAGCATTGTAATAAATTATACAATCTGAAGACTATTTAATACTGTTGTTTAATAAAACTATTCAAGTGGAAATGATATCATACTTTTGATAAAACATACAAAATAAGGCGGAATCTATATTTAGGCCCTTATAGTTATGATATACCCTTTGGCTCATAACATCCACTGGAGTGGACAGATGTGTTTTCTGTCACAGAAAACAAATTTACATGAAAAATATTGTTTAAACCTGGATAAAAGTATTTCTGACATCCTTTTTTGCTGAAAAATATGTATTGCACCTGTCTGGTTTTATGCGAATAAAAGGATTTAACACTTATTCCTGAGGTATTTGGTGCATCTCCTCTTCCCTCCGCCTTCCTGAATATATGATACAATATCTCAAAACAAAACAAAAAATAGTTGCAAAGACAATAATTAAACAGAATCGTAGGCAGCGCTTTGGGGGTTCACCACCTGGTGGTTGGGACACGGTACTACAACCTAAATGGTTCAAAATAGCTTCCAAATAACTGTCCACTGTAGTGGACACCATGCATGAAAGGGTTAAGAGGAATTGAAAAGCACTGATTTAATGTTTGATAGGACATCTGTAGCTCTCCGTTTACTTTGGTGCCTCTAGACGATGACGATGATGATGATGATGATGATATGTAAGTCGCTCTGGTTAAAAGCGTCTGCCAATTATCATGTCTTCAAATATTATGCAGTTATGATATTATAAATGTAGGACAGACATCGTTAGATCAGGGTTTGCATTAAACCTCATTGTCTCCTGCTCTAACTAGCGGGGGAGGGGTGCGCCATGTGACGCGCGCTGGTTTCCCTTAGGTCCTGTAAGCAAATGTAAAAGGTCTCCCTGGAGTTCTTGTGTATTATTCGTGTTCGTTGCTTGATTGGAGCAAGAAGTATCTGCAGCATGTCTGGAAGAGGCAAAGGCGGTAAAGGACTCGGGAAAGGAGGCCCTAAGCGGCACCGTAAAGTGCTGCGGGATAATATCCAGGGAATCACCAACCCCGCTATTCGTCGTCTGGCGCGCCGCGGCGGCGTCAAGCGCATCTCCGGTCTGATCTATGAGGAGACTCGCGGTGTGTTGAAGGTGTTCCTGGAGAACGTGATCCGCGACGCCGTCACCTACACCGAGCACGCCAAGAGAAAGACCGTCACCGCCATGGACGTGGTGTACGCGCTGAAGCGACAGGGACGCACCTTGTACGGTTTCGGAGGATAAACGCCTTTAAACACAAACCCAACGGCTCTTTTAAGAGCCACCCACACTCTCACATAAAGAGTCAATGTTGAAGTGAAAGTTAACGACAAACTGCTTGTGGATCAAATCCTTTTGAAAAGCCCAGCTTACTGCTGATGTGTGTATTTCTCATCACTCGTTCTCTTTGTGTTGACGCTTTTGTCATCAAAACAAATGTCTCGGCTGTATAAACACCTGGCAATAAAGATCTTTCTCATTCTGACTTACTCTGATTCTCAAATTTAGAGCTCGCATGTTATATATTGCTGTCAGAGGCGCACACAAATGAGATAATATTTTTTTCTTACATGGCATTTTATTTTGTTTAGCCTTCCTTTGAATTAAAGTGGTTTATAAATTAAGAGGAAACAATCTCAAGTTTGAGAAATTAAATTGGCAGAACAACAGAAGAGAAAAAAAGTGTCTAATCGGTATTGCTCTTCTTTCTCCAAATGAGCTCAGTGGGTTTATAAGTTTTTTTTATATATATATTTATATAAATTACACTGATATTTATCCTGTGTGATATTTGAGACGGATTTGTTTTCTTGTATAGAATATAACAAAAAGAGCGGGAATTGAAACAAAGGAAACTTAGTCACGTGGGCTGATGTCGTTCAAACATGGAGTAGTGGGCGGGGCTATCACTTCACCGCCTGTGATTGGCCCTCCTTCCGCTCGTGATACTTCGAGTTGTCCAATCACAGACGGGTTTATGTGTTTAGTCTGTGAAAACACGCAATCAGAAGCGTCCACATCTCTTTGATAATTAGCATAGATTAGTGAATAAACGCCTCTGTCTCGCTCATTCTAATCATTGTCTCGTGAGATATTGAGCTCGCAGCAGCATCATGCCTGAACCAGCAAAGTCCGCGCCTAAGAAGGGCTCCAAGAAGGCCGTCACTAAGACCGCAGCGAAGGGAGGAAAGAAGCGCAGAAA